AATTTTGATTCCCACTTTCGTGGGAACAGGTGAAATCAGCCTCGTTATGGTGGATATCTGTGGATCTGCAGGGTTCTGAGATGAGAGTCTCCACCCTTTTTGAATTAAGCCCTTCACTCGGCCCCATTTCAATTAGGCCCAGACGCTCTCCTTCTACACCACGCATTTGATAAAAAAGTAAGAGTGTTAGTTCGCATGTCTGCACCCGCTACTGTAAGGGCCACAAAGGTATCTGAGTTCATCGTAAATTAGATTTTATTACATCTGAGTCTCTTGCCGAACAAGGCAATCCTGTATAAAAGCACCGACCAATATCTCCCTTAACACAAAATTTGTCTGCCGGCTCGCACAAACTACTCGCATGGACACTATATTATTCGCCCCCACAGCAACACTCAAAGCACATGAGTCCGCAGCATCTAAAAGAATCAGTATAGTATCCATAGTGGAGCGAAGAAGTAAGCATCACCAAGGGGAAACCTACACTCCACAACAAACTTCTCCTGCTTCACCACCTCCTCGCAAGTTCACATCTGAGGATTCCGGGGCCGCTGTCTTTGCTGGTGGTCAGTATCCTTGACGCTATAGTCGAGAGTGTTGTTCATGAATGTACCATACCGAAGCTTTTGTGCTGGGAGCTTCAGGAGCAGTTGGTTGTTGCATGGTCACAGTCTCTGGATCCCAGACATGGCTTTGTGGTTCTGGAGCAGGGGCTTTGCTGAAAGGCATGAGAATCAAATCGAAGAGGTTCATCTTGTTCCCTTGAGAAGAATATTATGCAGAGCGTGCAGTTCTATGGCGAGGAGAACCTTTTATATGTGTGTAGCACCCCTGGGTCTGCAGAAATATGATAGCTAAATTAGTGCCATAGAGCAGGAAAGCGTTATTGAGATTTCCTTTCACCTGCATGGAGCCATCCACTCCACAGCAGATCCACTATGAAACCCATGGTGAGGATCTAGTCGCAACTAGCGACCTTCTACGAGATCGAACGCCTCTTGGGTTGATATTCATGGTTATGTAACAAACACATACTAGGGCGCAGTCTCAGCTCGTGCCATAACACAACATTAACGACTTGTTAAAAATTCATGGTTCCCTTCTATGCATGCCGTACAGAACTGCAAGACGTGGAAATCCAAGGTAAAAAAGGCTTGTTATCTACGGATAAACATAGGAGAAACATACAAGCCTCGGAAAAGGATGAGATTGAGCCAAGTACCTGAAGCCAAAAAACATCACCAATCGGGGAAAAGTACCACCTACTCCACCTCATAAAAGAAGTTGAGTCCTGGGAGCTGGCTCAATCGAATTGGTCAACCTTGTGGATCTACCTAGTAATAAGACCCACAGTTTTATAGGCACCAGCTTTACTGATTGGCTTGTTATCGTACTCGAATGCGAATAGCCTTTTCAAGATTAGCGGTCTTACTTCTTGCACTGATTTTGAAGCTGGTCCTACGTAATGAGTAGTGCCTATCTCACATTTTATTTGTGTTCCGTAGACCCTGAATTTCAGCCCTGTGAGTCAGACCCTTTATCAGGGTCCACCGGGGCTGGCATTAAAATTCGAATCTTCTACCACCTGCCATCCCACTCATCCGTTGACCTTGATTGGGAAGACACAAAACATTTAGATGAAATTTCTGCTGACAGGGTTCCGTAGAAAGATTGTCGTTCAAAATTACGGCAAATTTCGGACCAATTGCTCAAGAGAACTTCTATTCGTGACCCTCTTTTGGCCTACGATGTATCAAGCTAGTGATCCTCGAAACCGAGTGGAAAAAAGAAGCGCATTATTCTTCGGACCTCGTCTCGAATCCGAGACCCCCTATTGGTGCTGTCGTACTGTCTGCGCTAGTTGACGGAGATAAACCCCTGAACACGTTCTTGACCCGGACTGTCGGGTACCTTCACCGGCTTCTTTATGTTGGGATCACGATATTTCGAGAAATGGCACATTTCTGCTTCTATATCTTTTCCCTTATCATAGCCATTTCTCTAAATTCGAACATCGACGTGTAAAGATAATATTGATACAATACATGAAGCTAAATACAATTGGAACGTAATTAGGCGCACAGAGCACGAAGAAGAAATTTATCCCTACCGGTGAAGGAATGTAAGAATCTGAAAGGCCAATCGTGGCTAATAGGAGACACAACGTAGCATCTTCCGCATCGCTTAGGTGCAACGGAAGCTCTCGGCCAGAGAGATATTGCCACCGATATACTCAATCTGGGAAGGATAGGGGCACAAGTTGCGATGGAGACCATTTCCGAGCGACGGGTATTCCACAGGTAGGGTGTCCGGGGCTGTGCCATTCTCGACCCAACGCTGGAGAGCTTTCATGACGGTGGTGGGCTGGCCACCGAGGCCGCCGGCGCAGTGACCGAGACCCGGCGACTCGAAGAAGCGCCAGAAGTCCTGAATATCCGGGAAGAGCGCCTGCGCCTTGTTGTAGAGATATTCGGTACCTTTGGTGGGGATACTGGGATCGGCCTGTTCGGTAAAGGGATTATTGGTTAATTACTGCTGTCATGGCTTTGGCAATTTGGCTGGGGGAAGGATGAAGAGGGTGGGAGAAAGACGTACCATGCCGTGGTAGCTCAGCAGCTTGCCTCCATTATTTTTGAAAGCATGCAAATTTGCATCGTCCGCATTCCAGGCGCTACCATATTCCGAAGTGATGAGGTTGAAAAACTCCTGGTATTCCGTGTGGCTCAACCCCATGGTGTCGAAGCTGATATTCTTAGCGACGAACAGATTGAACCATTCATCCTTCACGGTGGCGAAAGATGAGCTGTTGAATCCTGGTTGAGCACCAAAGGTACTAGCGATGTCGGACCCCGGGTTGTAGCCATACCAGAGCTGGTGGCCGTCAGTGGCCTGCGCGCCCGACCAGGCAGCATCAATGATGACCGCGGCGCCCTGACTCAGTGCGATAGTGCGGTTCAGGGAGTCACAGGTAAATGTTTTGTTCACTGCGGTATAGGGATCGTAGTTACAGGCAGTCATGTTGGAGATAAGTCCATCTACCGCACCATCAAGGGGATCACAGTAGGTGATCGCCTCGCGTGTCAAGAAGTCCAGCTCGCAGACGAGCGGGTTCAGGTTGTGCCAGATGCGCATGAAGAGAGTATAGTACAGCGAGGAAGTAAACTTGGTAAAAGATTGTGCGGGAGCTGAGGCAGCAATACCATCGTAGGCAGTGGGATAGCGCTCAGCGATCATCATTCCCTGCCGGCCTCCTTGCGAGCAACCACTCCAGTAAGAATACTCAGGAGCACGACCGTAGAAGCTGTTCACCAGGCTCTTCCCAATGATGGCTTGGTCATTGTAGGCCCGGGATCCGAAGTTTTCCACTGCAACCCAATCAACATTGCCCGGACTGGTGAGCGCCCATTCACGAGGTCCTGTAGTATCCTTTCCCAGTCCAGCATCGGTGGTGGTGGTAGCAAATCCTTCCCCAAGTGCACCTCCCATGAAGAACTCGGACAACACAAACCGGCCAGCAGCCCACCCGCCACCTCCTGTTGCCTGCAGGCGGCCGTTCCAGTTGGCAGGTTCGGGAAGCCAGGTCTCGACGGTGATGTTATCCTCGTAGCCGGGATGGGTATATTTCACGGTAATGTTGCAGAACTTCGCATTTTCGAGTTCAACAGTACCTCCATTATAGTTGAACGTGTACGGAATGTAATCGGTGTAATTGGTGACCCAAGATGCAGAAAGAGAAATGATCTCAGCCCCGTACACGACCGGGGTCTGAATGGCTGCAGGCGAGCAAATGGAAAAGTTTGACATGGCTGCTAAAGGAATGTGAGCCAGGAACGAGTGTATGAAATGAAATGAGAGTCGCAGATTGCAATTCTCCGATTCATCCTTCCTTTTATACCCAGCTTTTCAGCCTGGACTGGGTAACCCATATTATTCCAACCTTGAATGACATCGATTTGGGAAGGGGGTTTAGGGATGGTGGAGCCCAAGTCGGGCGACGGCCGAGTGGCTCTTCCCGGATAGGATGTTCGTACTCGGGATAAACAGTAACATGCCGGCTCCACCTTTCTCTGAACCCTGGATGCCGAACTAGGTTGCGCCGTACTCGCGCCACAGAACCCTCACGATTTTTAGGCTTCTAGGCACATTGAAATTTACCAATCATATTGCCTTGATACCTGTAATTGCGCGTGTTTACGAATGTCCCATCTACGTCAGACAAATGTCTAAATTTTCTAGTCTCACATCAATCTCGCCAAGGCAGCGCCCTGCTTTTGCTGCCTATGATATACCATCCATGCATTGCGTCCAGTTTTTATCTCCGTCCTCTTATGCGCATCCTGTAAGTGCCTACATACCCGACATACCATATGCTAATGGACGCTGAGTACCTGGAACTCGGGATCTTGTCATGCCTACCGGCATTCATGATATACTCAGCCGATTTATTCCATATGCGCACACATGGAAAGGCAAATCCATGCTCTGCAGATGGTAATACATTGACAGAGGCAACTACTTGATTAAGCGAATCTGGAGACATGGGAATATTTCGCACTGGAGCCAAGAGCTATAAAGGCTATATCTAGATGTGGCACTGGAGGAAACAATGTATCTAGGAAGGATCTATACATTCTAGTGTGATCAAAATCTGAATAATTGAAGACGTGTCTTCGCTGTCTTTCAACGCAATGTAAAACCATGTGATGTATTGACAATCGGTGAATTTCGAAATATGATTTGATCATACACACACCATATCACATTTGACTACCACCAATAAAGCCCTTGCTGCTTTCTTACTGTCATCTCTGGTTTGCAATTTATGCATTGACTTCGTTATCAACATTTTATAAGGACACATAGACGCGCCACTTCATGCGGGATATATTACAAAGCAAACCTCCAGCTCAGTAGATAATGCTTTCCCAATGCCGTCGAACATATAATACCACACTGCCTGCACCCCCACCTCAGCAAAAGGACCAAATCATTCCACTCCTTCATATTTTCAAGATAGACCCCTTCACCCAATGCCCAAGCTGCGCAGACAAGAGACGGTTCTCATTCATAATAAACATCCGCCCATTGCGGCCAAAGGAAAAATTAGCCACGCCGCTCTTGATGTAAATCTTCCCCAACAAGACACCACCGGGCGACCAGACGTTAACCCCGTCCCCGCAGCCAGCGTACACATTACCTTCCATATCGGTCTTGATCCCATCCGGAATACCGTTTGCTGCCATGGCGAAGACGCGACGGTTGGTCAGAAATGGCTGGCCGTGGTAGGTGGTAATGTCGAATACATATCTGAATAGTTGCATATCAGCCAACCATAAAGGTAAAATAGAGTACCCTACTTGCGAACATAAAGGAAAGCGACAAGAGATCATAGAGTGGGGAAGGGAAAATGACATACATGGTGGAAGGCTTAGTCGGATCCGTCGTCCCATCACCAACCGTATACGCCGTATCGGTGATGTATACTATTTTTTCATCAGGAGAGAAAGAAATGCCATTCGGACGACCAAATCCATCCGCAACGACGCGCACATCCCCTGTACTCGGATCATAGCGATAAACTTGGTTCGGCAGTTGCGGTGCAGGCCGGATGCCCTGCTCGTATCCGTACGTAGGATCAGTGAACCAGATAGAGCCATCGCTATGGACAACCACATCATTCAGGGAATTGAAATTCCGACCGTAGAAACCACTGATTAAGAGCTCGGATTCATATGGTGGGTCAATAGACATCTGGAATAGACCCCCAGATTGGTTGAGCGTGCCTTGGCCGCAGAAGATGATTCCAGACTCGTGGTTGATACCTCCGTTGGGAAGAGGAATGGTGGTATTGATTATTTCTGATGTCACTGGGTTGCTGCTAAGGGATACTTTGGAGATCTTGATTGTTGACTGGTTGGTGAGGGGATCGGTGAAGATGTTGCTAGTCATGAACAGTTCTTCTGTGGATGGGATAAAGACACTTGCTTCATGGGCGAACGGGAAGTCATTGTTCTCTAGAAGAACTTCTAATTTTGGGGCATTGCCTGTGATGTTCAGGAATCGACTATCGTAGTATTCGAATCCTGTGGTGGCTTGGGAGAACTCGGGCTGCACGCCGGTGACGGACATATTGTGGGCCATTGGGATGGTGGCCATGGCGAAAGTAATGCTATGTTATTAGTTAAAGTGTGAGGGGGCATGGAGATTTATAAGCTCACTAGTAAGTTATATCGGGGGTTTCTCGGCTGATCTTAGGCCAGGAACTGCGCTGGGGTTGAGGTTGAGCAGCCAGCAATTTCCGCCTTAAGGGATGAAGCGGGGACAATGTGGGCGATCATCGCCGTAATCGGTCCAGGTAGGGAATCAGCGTGTGAATGTACTATTTTGGCAACTTCAACAAAAGAGTAACTCCATATTTATCTACTCAGAGTAGGTATATAACAAGAACACTAATCAGAATAATCAATAGCAGCTTCAAGGGGCATGCTCCATACGCTCAATGTGCTGCCTTATAAGCTCAGCCACATCTGTATGACCATTTTCTTGGGCTAGCGCCAGCGCTGACTTCCCATTCTTATCCTGCAAATGCGGATTGATTCCTTCTGCGGCAAGAAGAATTCTCACAATCTCCATGTCGCCACGAACCGCTGCACATGGTAGGGGTGGAAGCCCATTATAATGCCCACGGTTCGGGTCTGCCCCCGCTGAAAGTAAAAACTTCACCGCCTCCGGACTACAGCGTCCTAATGCCATCGCTAACGGCGTCGAACCATCCCTGCATTGCACATCGACATTCGCACCTGCATCAAGAGAGACTCTGAACAGTTCGACCTGGTCCATCCGACGCCTCCATGCTATGTTGTGGAGAGGCGTTCGTCCATCATAACCGGGAATGCTTGGGTTTGCTCCTCCTTTGAGTAGAAGCTTTACCATTTTCGAATCACCCAATGCTGACGCCTTTAACAGAGGAGTGTCTCCTGCATCGTCCGCAATATCAGGCGTGGCGCCTGCAGAAAGCAGCATGCTCACCTCTTCCAAGGCCCCGCACACGGTCGCGATTGCAAGGGCCGTGTTTCCATGTCTCTGGTCTTGTGTGTCAAGTGCTGCTCCTGCGGCAATAAGCGCTTCAACTATCTCCACGACTGTCTCCGCATGATATAGACCATCACAAGCCATAGTGAGGGCTGTTCTCCCAAGCTGAGACGGGAAGTTAACATCTGCACCCGCAGAAATAAGAAATTTGACCATTTCCGATTTTCTTCCCCGTACAGCGCAGAAAAGTGGCGTTGCTCCCTCTACATTGCGGATATGGAATTCTGCACCTGCAGCGAGAAGCGCTTTGACAACTTCCACGTTTCCAGATTTCGCAGCATACATGAGTGCTGTATCTTCATGGCTATCCTGGGTGTTAACATCCGCACCGGCAGCTATAAGCGCTTCAACGGTTTCCAAATCTCCGGATCCAGCAGCGCGTAGGAGTGGTCCTGATCCATAATCATTTTCCATATGAATGTCTGCACCTGCAGTAATAAGTAACTTGACGATTGACGCATCACCACGCTCTGCTGCTCGAGAAAGTGGGGTCTCTCCAGTACTGGAGGAAGAGTTAGGGTCCACCCTTCCTGTGTTGAGCAGCATGGTGACTATTTTTACTTCTCCAGCACGTGCCGCTTCAGCCAATGGACTCACGTTGTACAAGTCTCTTAAATCTGGATGGACACCCTGTGTAGCAAGCAGAATTCTAACCACCTCTTCATGGCCATGTTTTGCCGCCAATGACAGGATAGATACGCCATATTGATCCCGTAAATGAGGATCAACCCCTTCAGTCGCAAGTAGTAACATCACCGTTTCCTGATGGTTTCCTGCTGCTGCTTTGAGTAACGGGGTTTTTCCATGAAAGCATTGATAATTCGGATTTACTCGCTTGGTAGCAAGAAGCAACTTGACTACATCTAGGTGCCCAGATTCTGCTGCCGCGCGCAACGGTGTTTCACCCCAGTCGCCTTCCTGGTCGGGGTTGACGTCCTTCAAGTTGAGTAGCATTCTCACTATACCTTCTTGCCCTTTCGCCGCTGCGCAGTAGAGTGGGGCGTCCCAAGAGAGTTGGGCGTTCCATGATCCTCTGACGTCAGGCTTGATGCCCTCCGTGGAAAGGATGAGTCTCACAATATCCTCATGCCCTAACTCAGCTGCTTTCGATAAAGCAATTTGTGCAGATCTGAATGATTCTGGCGTGCGTAATTTTGATAGTGACATTCGAGCTGTTATCTCTTGTGCATTGCCTGCAGCCCAGATTAATGCCTGTGGGTAAGGATGATGCATGTCCCAGTGATACAGGAAGGGGTTGATGTATCGATAGAGATGAGTGCTTGTCCTCGCCAGATTGTTCAGATCCTCACTATCTAGCCAGTCTGCGATGCACTGCAACACATCGCCAGGTAGTTCGCCGAGCATTTTGAATAGGTTCTTTTGTTGGCCTGATGTATAGGATGGGGATAGTAAGATGTAGTATGATAGTGTTTGTGTGAAGAAAATGAGGTGCCTCTTCAGTCATATAAATACATATTAAGTAGTTACATTCCTATCGCTGGGTATGCACTAGGTACTCTCTTACTGGCAAGTCGTCAAAGAAACTGACTGACGATAAGCCAGTTTGCTTCTTGATATGCGGACCATTCCAGTATTTCGAGTGCTGTCTTTAGCGAAAAGAACAGGCCGTCCAAAATAATGGGGCTCGTTGCTTGAAGAACGAATGCCTGATGAAGAACAAATGCCTGATGTAGTATCTAGGAAGACTTCATTGTACGTGAAGATCTTGTTGACATGGAAAACGGATGGTACTTCCCGCAGGATAGATGATCTCTGGGAAGCACAAGTTCAAAGTAAAGGTCGAAATGCTGAAGATATGGTTCTTGAAAGCCGACCGACAAAGAGGGCGGGTAGGATTGACATTTCTTTGAAGTGGAGAGCGACCCTCAATCAAGTGGGTTGTGCCTGCCTTGAAAAGATATTCGAACTTGGATTCCTGACAAACATAGCTATCATGGCAGTTTTACATTGGATTAGATACCAAGGGGCTTATCCAACAGACCTCTTCCCCGCCATAGCGATGGTAACTACCAGAAAGTGCCCGTAAAAATATCTGGTTGAGCTCGAATTCATGGTCCCGATAAGGCCTTCTGAACGATGGTCAAAGAAACCTTAAATATGCTTTTTGTAGAGGAGGGTCTTGTTAACAGTCTCACAAAGAATTCTCACAAGGAACCTTACAACTGTACGATCGCTCATGTTCTTAAACCAAAAGATGTCTTTCTGAGGGTCTTTCAACAACTCAAGACCTCTAAGGCCTTTGTTGTCCTCCTTAAAAACACTTGGAGATTACGTTCCCTTCAAATTATCAATTTTTTCATATATGCTTTGTTTGTTTGCACCGCTTGACAGGCTGGGAGGAAGATCATATGGCAGGGTTGTGGATGTGAGGGGAGCCTACCCTTGATTTAATGACAAACCCACCATCTGATCGTAAAACTAACATTGTAAGATTTAATCCCTATTATATCTTCATCGTTTATAGTCATTCACAATATTAAGTCCATTGCACAGCGAATAGCAGGCCTTCCAACATGACGACAATCGTGAACATGATTTCGCCACTTATAGATTATTCAGCCATACTAGCATTTCAATGTAACTAATTAGTATGTTACAATATGCTGGGCCTGGCTAAGCATTCTGGTATTCAGATGCTGCCTAGTCGGATGACGCGTCGCGATCTTTGCTAAGGCTCTAAGTACTGCGGATGTGGGTACTAGGAGCCTCCATCATGGCCTAATCTATGAGCTTGTACACTGGCTGGTCGGCGATAGCTCCTGTTGGAGTTAGTGTATAATGGGCGAGAAGCCCGCAGGATGTGCGCGAGAAAGATATTGTAGTTCAATATCCAGCGCGATGAAAGTTGACTAGAGTTGCCGGTCATCGACTCGCCCACTAGTGGACGCTGCTCCCATTGCGGTAGAGGTTCGTTACTGGCCTCTCCTTAGCTTCTACGCCAGTAGTTCAAGTAAGCATGCGCCCACTCGAATATACCTTGAGTGAGTCATCTAGATATGACAGTTGGCCCGTTTTCGTACCAACTGTGGGTGGGGCCATGCAAACCTCCGCTCTCGAAACATGTCATCGCTACCAGCCTCGAGACCTAACGAACAACAATTGGGCAAGTCTGTAGAGTATTTATATCTCCGCATGCTCATATCAGTATATTATGGTATCTTACAGTGAATACTTGCTTCATGTGTCGGGCCAAGAATTTTTAGCATGCTGCATTCCCCTTTAGCACTCTTGTAAAGGTCATCGAAGGGTATTAGGACCGGCCTAGTTTCTGACTTATTTTCGCACCACTATCAATTCACATTCGCCGCCAACCATGCGAATTCAACACTGTCTATCTCTCATAGCTGCATTGGTGCAATTCACTGCAGCTGCCAACATCACGATTCTCGGGCCCGGGGACCTTCACCAAGACGTCGCAGATTCCTTTCTTTTCTGCCTCAATGCAACTGGCATTTATTACCGGCTGTATATAGACACAGGAATTACGATTGTGCTTCCGCCCAACAATCGCGGTATTGATACAGGTGAAGACGATGAGTTCCTATTGCAGTGCATGATGATGGCCTGTGATACAATGAGTATTGCGGCGGAGGGCATGAACGAGGATAATGCAGACCATATGAATAGTGTTTATGCCTCCTTGGTGACGTACGACTGGCTCGTCGAGCAAGGTGCTCGGGGTTTGCGTGCGATCGGTACGAGGCCGGCCCTGACCCTGGAGGATATTGCTGGGCGCGATGGGGGTGGGAATGAGGTGAGTTTGGCGAAAAGAAATTGTTTTGTATTGTGACCTTGCACTGAAAGATGAATGCAGGAATGAGTCTTCCATGTCATTCACCATAATAGCGTCAAGGGAGAATCACCCTGATTCGGACCGATTAATTCGAACCTTATTGAGATGATCTCGGTTAGTTCGATCACGCCCGCCTCCGTATGCAGCATATTGAAGCCAGAATATTGAGACTCTAATAGCTGGATGGATATGCACACAGTTTGGCAACAATTCGCTATTATTTCTGATGTCATTATGCTATATATCTTTTGTTGTGACACGCATTTCTCTCACATGGCTGGCTAGATGCGATATGCCGTTTTTGGTTGAGCGACTAGTGTCTCGACATTAGTATTAGATCTCTGAATCTCGCAATGTCTATGTAATTCGCATTGTTCAATCCATCTCCTCCGCTGGTTAGCAACTACGGCCATTAGAGTATTATCACGGGATTCGACGTATATAAGCCAGAATATAGTCAACCCTATCTTGCCGGCGACCCCCGGCAAAGGGCTTTGCCACTCCAGGGACTGGGAGGCCAAGGGTTCCCCGATCTCGCCTCCAACTCCACATTTGCCGTTGCGGGGAACCGAAAGTTGGGGTAGGAACCAGTCTGCCATCTAACCGAGCTTATGCCCGAAATTTTTGGTCATTTGTGAATTCTGACAAGTATCCCTTTCACGTCTCATCCCCTCCTTGTAGACTACATGCACAGAATAGAATAGATATAGATAACGACGGACATGGGCACACAGAATGAGGGGCTAGACGCCCCAGACGAAATGTCCAACGAGCATAACGAACATCAACCCCCAGCCGAGGCTAGTCCAGAGAGGCAACCAGTGCCCGACGGAGGGCTAGAAGGCTGGCTCAGCGTACTCGCGGGTTTCTGCGTCTTCGTCAACTCTTGGTACGTACCTACATCCCCATCACCAGTCACGCCCAAGCAGTCCTAACCTCCAGCAGGGGCCTCATCAGCTGCTATGGCGCATTCCAAGAATTCTACCAAACGGTTCTCCTCCCGAACGAATCACCCTCCACGATCTCCTGGATCGGCAGTATCCAAGCCACCCTGATCGTGATGGTCGGCATGGTGACCGGCCCTCTAGTCGATGCAGGATACCTCCGGCCTCTGATCCTCACCGGATCCTTCCTAGTCGTGTTCGGGATGATGATGCTCAGCCTAGCAACGGAATACTACCAAGTTCTCCTCGCGCAGGGCTTCTGCGTCGGCATTGGCGGCGGCATCACCTACATCCCCGCGATGGTCGTTATCTCCTCGCACTTTACAACCAAACGGCCCATAGCCATCGGCTGCGCCTCTATCGGCTCCAGCGTCGGCAGCGTCATCTTCCCCATTCTCTTCCGCCAAGTCCAACCCATCATCAACTTCGCCTGGAGCGTCCGCTGCATCGCATTCATCAATCTGTTCCTCGCCCTCATCACCTGCGCTATCCTCTGCCGTCGACCTGGCAAGAAAACCCGCACTAGAAGCCTCATCGAACTCAAAGCCCTGACTCATCTCCCCTTTATGCTCCTCTCCCTCTCCATGACATGTGTCATGCTCGCTTACTACGTACCCATCTTCTACATCGCCACTTACGCCCGCTCCGCCCTCAGCACCGCAACCAGCCTCTCATTCTACCTCGTCTCCATCACAAACGGCGCCTCCGCCTTCGGCCGCACGGTACCCTACCTCCTCGCCTCAGGAGGCACCCACATCAAACCCATCTTCATCCTAATAGCCTTCGTCGCAGCAGCAGCAGTAGCCATGTTCACCTGGATCGCGACAACAAAAACAGCCGGATTCATCGTTTGGGCATGTTACTGGGGTTTCGTGAGCGGGGTGCTAGTCACAGCGCCGACGTCCATCGTCGCTCACAAGGCATTCTGTCCCGATAGTGACTTCCTCGGGACGAGAATGGGCATGATGTGGGGGATTAGTTCGTTCGGGTCGTTAGTGGGCACGCCCGTTGCAGGAGCGTTAGTGAATTTAGAAACGGCGGACTTTGTTCGTGCGCAAGTGTTTGCGGGTTGTTTGATGGTTGGGGCGGTCGTGTTGCAGGTTTGGCCGGTTGTTTGTGTGGTTAGGGTGGATAAGGGGGTGGGGAAGGTGCAATAGCATAGACGCTTGTGTTAGAGCTTTGGATGCAATGGTGAATCATAGAGATAATTCAAATATGACCTGTAGAACAATATTCCTCTCCTCTATCTTTATCGGAGTTCACTGGTCGTGGATCTATACTTATCCGGTGCTATCTATCGGATTTTTGTATCCTTGTCCATGCATATGCATTTAATTTCAGCGCTGCATTGCTGTCCAACAGCACGATCACATCATCAGTCGACTAGATTTTGATATTATTGTGGCGTATGTCTGATCTTTGTTCCCTATCAGGATACTAATCTCGCTCTTGGTCTTTTTAAGCCAACCACCATCCTAGTACCGCCAGCACATGCACATGCAAATGCAGGCATCAAGACCAAACCACCCCGAAAGCACAATTCCGAGGCATCAACCCTATCCAATCGATAAGTTTCCCGAGGATTGCGAAATCAAGCTTTCAGAAAACTGGTTTCCGAATGCTGTCTCCACCACAGCTTACTATATTATTGCTTTTTATTGCAGTGATAGTAGTGGTAGGGATGTAGCAGGGGAAGATATCATGGTTCAGGGCACTAGTTGAGTGAGGCCCGGGGTCTCCCACTCGGCAGCGTTGGTTGTTACGTGATAGACGGGCCGCTATTAATGGGTAAGTGAGTAGACGTGATGTCTGTGTCTACTGTCTACCGCAAACTGAATCAGGAATACTCCACGGATTAAGCTGGTTGGGTGAGTGGGTCTGGACAGGCCGGTTGTGTGGAATGTGGAGTACTAGTCTAAATGGAGTGAGGCCGAGGATTTGCCGATATGCTCACTCACTTGCTTTATGCTGTGCATGTATGTTATGCAAGTTGTGAGTTATGTGCACTGGCTTACACTACGTACGATTGTTGCCTCAATTAAATTCAATTCAAGCAATAACTATATACCGACCCTAGAGTACTTCACAAGCTAGGGCCTAAATAGCTGTCCTGCAGGTACCAAGATAAAAGAAAGAGTGACAAAGGTATAGTCAACCTCACCCTACTGCGATAAGATCCCAAACGTATCGCAGCACGCTTAGAAAGTAAGAGTCTGACCGGCAGTGCCGACGACAGCAGCCTTGACATTGGCGGAGCCAAGAAGGGTGTAGTCGTAAGGCATGGAAGTCAGGGTGCCCTCCTCGGCATCGCTCGTGGCATCACCGAAGTCGTTGTCGTTGGAGACGGCGTAGCCATCATCGGTTGAGTAGAGGGCCTTCTTGGAGTCGACGAACTGGTTGGACTCGACGAGCAGCTGGGCGCCGTCACGAGTGTTGATGCCGTCGCTCACGTCAAGGTAGTAGCTGTTGTAGATGTGGCCGGTACCGAAGCGGAAAGAGGGACCGCGGGAGTTGATGTTGTACCAGTAGTTGTTGGCATAGGTGACGGTCAGGTGGCCGCTGTCCTCGTCCTCGTTGCTGTCGGAGTGGCCGACCAGGGAGGCCTTCCAGTGGTCGTGGATGAAGGTGTTGGAGACGGTGACGTAGTCGGATCCGTGGGTGATCTGGTTGTTTATTAGTGAAATGGTTTGGGTATTAGTGTGATTGTGGGTTGTGTACATCAATCAGACCGTCGTAGTAGTCCTTGTCGTGGTCACGGTCGGATGAGACATCGCAGTGGTCGATCCAGACGTTGTTGGAGTACTCTGCTTGAATTAGTATATCATAAGGTGTATAATGTGTGGATGTCACGTACGGACACCAATGGCATCGCCGTTGTCAGCAAGGACCTTGGTGACTCCGAGGTTGCGGATGATAACGTTCTCCTTTTCCTTGACGAGACTATTGCACGTCAGTCTGGTTCAACACTTCATTGTGGGGATGTGCTTACACTCCGAATCCCTCGAGGATGGCGTTGGCATCCTTGCCAATGATGGAGGTGTTGCTGCCGATCTTGACCTGGTCGGCGGTCTCCTTGATGGTGCCGTCAACGTAGACGACCTTGGCGTCATCACCGGAGACAGCAGAGGTGAAGGCAGCGTAGGACGAGACGGTAGTGGTAGTACCGCCGGCACCACCGGTGGTGCCGCCGTTCATGCTAGCATAGCCGAACGCAGCCTGCAAAGGTCAATTTCTGTGACGTTCTTCAAATGAGGGTACATACGTCGCTGACGGTTGCGCGCTTGGCATGGGTATAAGTGGCAGTAGGGGCAGCCAGGACCTGTCCAGACAGGAGGCCGGCAGCGGCAACAATCCACTTGAAGTTGGTCATTGTGATTAGGAGAGAGAAAAGAATGGAAAGGTAGTTGGGGATGAGAGAAGGAAAGACGATGTGAGAGGCTTGATTTGGGTTATCGTTCAGGGTCTACCTGTTCCTTTTATATGGATGGGTCGACGGCATTGGGAGCTCTAAGACAGAATGAAATCACTTCAAGCATCAGGACTGTCTCCAGGCTTGGCTGGATACATTCATAGGTGGACTTCAGCATAGCAACCGTGACGAGGTGAAGCTGCAGGTTCTTTGGATGCGACTGCCAAGATGCCGGTCAAGCCCCGTACGGATGAAGCTGGTCGCACCACTCGCATGGCAGGGAGGGAGCATCGTGAGGAAAGACGTTGTCAAGAGGTGGATATTATGCTGGGAGCTGAATTCCACCAACGGCACTTGGCGTTTCAGCGATGTTGCCAAGAGAGCTAAAGTCTGGGTCCATCGTGGCTGTGCGGTGGAACTGTCCGTGCCATTCACGACTAGTGTCCGCTCAGGAACACCGGCTGCGATGCTTGGCGCGTCTGGACATGCCCCCCGGAAGATTCTTAGTGGTGTACGAGTCATTTTGTGGGAGCCGAAGGAGCAGAATAACTTGGCAAAACTAATCAATCAGGGGTTATCCTCCACAGTGGCACGGCTCCGTGGAGTGCCGGTCATATGTTCAGCATTGATCAAGCTCCCTTAACGCAGCAAAGCTACTATCATCGTAAACGTTAGAATCGTACCTTGCCATGGATTGAACAATAGATGCAAGCCATGCTAAAGTGTCTTTTGGCGCGGATTAGAGGATACTGCTTCCGCGGATCATGACCACGTTCAACAATAATCTGCCAACCCCGGGAACATCAAGCCACGGTTCAGCAGAAACAAGAAGGCCAAGCACCGGTCGTTCTCGGCAATAGAGTGCGTCCACTTCCACCTTCGGATGGCTCCGTTTCATCCGTTCCTTTGCTGCCCCTTTGGCCACGATTTAAGCGCCGTCTTCAGGTGATTGATGGCAGGAGAGCTCAGTTCTTGGCTGTTCTTGAGTGATCCTGATTCTCCACCTATGGTAAATATGTGAAGCAGCTAATATATCATGTGCATGGTCTAGGTGTGTCGATTGGAGGTCGTCTTAATTAGTTGACAGTTCGTCGGCAGTGCCGGAGGCGACGAAGGTATGCAGGGTTATGATCCAGTCTCTTTCGGTACTTGACATCACGGCGGTTTGAAGACGCTTGCTGAATTCTTCCACCTCTAGTCTGGATGCAATATATGCGATGCGGTCATTTCGCATGATAGCCGAAGTGGCAAAGTACAGTAGTGCTTCTGATAGATTGCGGGTGTGGAGGGCACACCGCTAGAATAGTAGTGTCAGGATGAGGGCATTACCGAGATTAAGCCGGGGTACTGAGATCGATGCCGTCTCTTCAACTATCCTATTTTCCTTTAGCTTTTTTCCAGCTTTCCTAGTGAGTAGCTACTCGTTCTGTCAGCTAAGTCTGAGCTGTAAGCTATCTTGACCAATAAACAGTATTCCATACAATCCAACTCACTTGCAAAGTCAACCCAGATTTCCCCCTCTAGAAGAAAATGAGAAAACGAAAACCAACAGCATCATCAGCATCATCTGCCTTCATCCTCTTCACATTCTCTGTGATATAGCCATGTCTACAGTCAGTGAGATCACGCCATCTGCATCGGCAGTAGACCATCACCTTATTACTCAGCGCCAACAATGACATCCGTCCATTTCCCCTCACTTCCCCTCACCACTTCATCACCAACATCGCCATCTCCATCTCCATCACAATGTCGAACTTTACCTCCGTTCCCTTCATCGACTTTCAGCGTCTTCAAGATCCAGAAACCAAAGCAGAGACCCTGGCCCAGCTCCGCGACGCCATCTTCCTCGTAGGCTTCCTGTATCTCACGAACCACGGACTGGAAGTAAGCCGCAGCCAACCACCACCAGCGCCCATATTCCACAATATACTAAAGACATCCACTACAGTCCCTCACCAAACGCGCCCACGCCGCCCTCCCAACCCTCTTTTCCCTCCCAACCGAAACGAAAGAACAAACGAACATGATCAACTCGCCCTCTTTCCTGGGCTACACGCGTCTCGGGGCCGAAACCACCGCACTCAAAACCGACATGCGAGAAGTATTTCCCCTTCCTCCCTTGTTCCTATCCCACTCACAACACATACCCTAACATACCACCCACGCAACTAGCAATTCGACTTCGGCACCCCCAACCTTCCCCCCTCCAACACTCAAACAGCACCAGTCTGGTCCCGCCTCGAAGGCCAAAACCAGTACCCTACACCAGCCACTCAATCCCTTGTAGAAGAATACATTACCTCTTTCATCCCATTAAGCAACACCTTCCTCCAATACGTTGCCGAATCCCTCTCTCTCCCGCCAACAACCTTCGACACGTACAGAGGAACCATGGACAGACTCAAATTCATCAAGTACCCGCCTCAATCCTCAGGGGAAGACAAATCCCAAGGCGTAGGGCCACATAAAGACTCAACCGGTCTATTTACCTTCCTATCACAAGATACGACAGGCGGATTACAAGTCCTTAATAAACGCGGCGACTGGATCGATGTTCCCCGGCTGGAAGATGAGGGGGCACTAGTGGTAAATATTCAGCAGGGGTTTGAGGCTATCACGGGGGGTGTTTGTAGTGCGACGGTTCATAGGGTTGTTGTAAGTGCCATGTTTTTCGTTTTCTCTGGGAAGTAGTACTGAAGTGGATGGGATGCAGGCACCCAAGAATACAACGCGATACAGTATCCCGTTCTTCATGGGGATACGGATGGACTTGACATTGTCAAATTTGCGTGATTCGGCGAGACATATTGTTGAGAAGGTTCCTGTGGGGCAGTGGTCTGATGAGGATGAGATGAAGAGAAGGGCCGAGGATGTGCCGAGTGAGTTTCTTTCGGACAGGTTCGATTGTGTATGTTCCTCCTCCATCATCATTGCTACGATATCGCTATGTAGAGGCATCTATTGATAAATGTCGATTTTGGGTCTAGTTCGGCGAAGCCTACCTCCGCAATCGAATCATCAGTCACCCTGACGTCGGGAAGAAATGGTATCAGGAGCTGTATGAGCGGTACTCGAATGATCCTTTTTATTTGCATTGACCGTTTCTTTTATATATATTATTGTCTTTATTATGAATTTGACCACACCACACTATGTAAGTTAAAGCTTCGCTGCCGCTGGAGGCAGAATGTTATACTTAACCGCCTTGACTGTTGTCCATCCCTCCAATGCCTCTTCTCCCATGTCCCGTCCAAATCCACTCTCTTTGACTCCTCCGAACGGCATATTCGACGCTAGCATCGCCCATGCGTTCACAGTGACCTGTCCGGACTCGATACCTGCAGTGACGCGATGCGCGCGGTTCACGTCGTTAGTGAAGACGGCGGCGCTGAGTCCGTGCGCGGTGTCGTTGGCCAACTTGATGGCCTCTTCTTCGGTGTCGAAGGGGGCGATGCACTGTTCTTGTTAGCCCCCATCCACCTCAATCACAACAGAGGTAGAAAGTAAAAGAAAAGGGGAGGAAAGAACGTACAGCAACCGGTCCGAAAATCTCCTCCCTCATCATTCTCTCTCCTTGCCCCACATCCGCAAACGCCGTATTCTGGACGAAATACCCCTTCTCCCCAATCCTCTCTCCACCAAACAACACCCTCACTCCTCTCTTCTTCCCCTCCTCCACATACCCCAAGATCTTCTGCAACTGCGCCGCACTGGACACTGGCCCCTTCGTCGTCTTCTCATCTAATGCATCCCCGATCACGGGCTTATCCTCCTTAGATAACCGTGCGTACTCTTCCAGAAACTTCTCGTAAATCTCCCGCTGGACATAGATTCTCGACCCCGCCGCACAGATCTGTCCGTTATTCGCGGTGATCCCGATACGCGTCCACAGCAGAGCATTGGCTAGATCGCAGTCGGAGAATACGATCGAGGGGCCTTTACCCCCCAGCTCTAGCGAAACTTTCTTCAGGTTGCTGGATGCCGAGGCGCGCAGGATGGCGCGCCCGGCGACAGTGGATCCCGTGAAGGAGAGTTTGCGGATAGCTGGGTGCGTGGAGAGAGCGTTGCCGGCTTTGGCACCGTCGCCGGGGAGGATAGATACTGTGCCGGCGGGGAAGCCTGCTTCGCGGATGAGGAGGGCGAGTTTTAGGGCAGACAGGGGGGTTAGTTCGGAGGGTTTGATGATGAGGCAGTTTCCCACTGTTAGGGCGGGGGCGAGTTTCCAGATTGTGATCATTCTGTGGAAGTACGATGTTAGTTGGTTGGTGGGTTAGGGTATCGGGGAGGGGCATACAGAGGCGCATTCCAGGGGACAATGGCGGCGCAAACACCTAGTGGCTCGCGGAAAGTATACCCCACTCCACCGTCAGGGAGATGCAACGTCTTGCCGTCGATCTTGTCGGCCCAGCCGGCGTAGTAGCGGAGGGTGGAAATGGCTTGGGGCATGGTCATGGCCTTGCTGTCTGTGTAGAGCATCCCACCTTCCAAAGCTTCAAGGGATGCGAAATCCTCCGCGTCGCGCTCTATCAGATCGGCGAGTTTGTGCAGGAGGGCGCCGCGGAGGGCGCCCGGAGTGGCTTTCCATGCGGGGAGGGCTTGTGTGGCGCAATGCACGGCGCGGTCAATGTCCGCTGGGCTGGCGGAGGAGACGGTTGCGAGTGGGGTGCCGGTGGAGGGGTTCTCGATGGTCAGGGTCTCGTTGGTGGAGGCCGGGGTGAACTCATTGTTGATGAAGAGGGTGGTCGGGACTGTGCTGTTAGGAGAGAGGGTTCTAGACAGGGTGAGGTGGGAGAGTATAGTACCTTGGATTTGGCGGCCTTTGGCGCCAGTAAGGGTGACGGTAGCCATTTTGTATTTTGATTTGCTTTTTGTATAGCTCTTTCGGGGAAAAAGCAATGTATGCAGCTGTGACTAACTATAAGTATACCCGAATTGAATTCCGGAGAGTTCCGTCCCCCGGAACTATTCCGAGACGTGATGCGGGGAATTTACAAGAAAGGCAAGTGACAGGTTGATCGGAATGATAGTCCTTCAGTAGTCATTTTGTTCGGTAAGAGAAGGGTCCGACTGCCGCGGAATCATAGAGCAGTGGTGAAGTCTGTCTGCCGAGTGGCTGATACGGTGGCACCCACGCAGTAGCTTACCCTATAAGGCTTATCACTGCCGAACTGGGGGGTGTCGCAGGATGACTCGTATTGCAGACCATTATTGGTGGGTCAGCTCGTGAACCAGCTTCCATCAGCCTGACTCCCCGTGCAGACATATCAGCCATGGCTTTGATCTTGCACATGGCGACAGTCCGTCTGTCCTTCCCATCTTCTGGTGTCCATGTAACATGCTTCGTCCGACAATGAGGATAATAAACTAGTTGTAGCTACTGCTGCAGAGACAGGGATCTATCTTGGTGCCTAGATGCTGCATGAAGAATGGGTACCGTGTGCCGTCCGATATATATAGTTCGGCTTGATGCCTATTACACTGCCACCATGACAGGCTGCTACGATTTCTACAGTAGTACCTCTAGTAGCTGGAATGACATTGTCTATAAAGTTAGTCTATATCCAATTAAAGTCACCATCATGTACTACTACCTAGTACTCCTACGACTCCTCACTCTCATCCCCCTCACCACCAGCTACACCGTCGATCAACTCTGGACCCTCACCACCCACTTCTGGGACAACTTCCTCTACCCAGCCAACACCGCGCATATCAACCCCAACGACACCTCCATCTTCTCCGACAATGTACTTACTTCCCTCACATCCCATACCCTCACATCCCCTTCCATAATCATCCTAAGTAACTGCAGGTCCAAGGCCGCGTCGACGTCACCCGCACCTTCACCGACCGCGACCTCAACAACGAATATATCTTCGGTCTCTTCTCTCAACCCACTCATCCCAGCATCTTCGGTGTCCCCATTGCCTACAACATCACCCAATTCGCAGCGACACAGAACACAGTGGCCTCCACCGTCGTCCTAACCTTCAACATTAGCACCTTCGACCTGATCATCCCGGGGGTAATTACCGCCTGGTTCGAATTCAATTCCGCCGGTCAGATTACCCAGTACGACGCCGTCTTCCGATGGCTGGAATGGCTATTCGTGCAGATTCTGCAAGCTGCGGGGCGCAAGTTTCACACGACTAACGAAACAGAGATTCGCGAAAAGGTGGCGGATCTATTCGCCCGGACAATCTGTCGCACTGAAGAAGAGTATTGTCTAGGCAGAAATCGGCATTATGCGTCTATGCAGGACTGCTATGTGTTTCTGACGCAGAAGATTCGCTTTGGGCAGCCATACGAGATGGGGAGGAATACGTTGCTGTGTCGGGAGGTACATGATAGTATGGTCAGGTTAAACCCGGATGTGCATTGTGCGCATATCGGCCCTTCTGGCGGAGATTATTGTGTGGATGATCAAAGCTACGAGGTGGTCTTGGAGAGATATTTTCGGACTTCGTGGGTGCCGGATAATTTGGCCCCGATGAATGTATGGGTATGGCAGAATGGAAGTGAAAGCAGAACGGTCTAAGTTGAAGTGATGGCTAACGAAGCAGAACAAGAAGTGAAAATGTCAAGACGGGGAAAAAGAAAAAGAAGAAGAAGAAAAAAAAGAGCTATCTATTAACTTATTTGACGTGCCAGAAGGACAAAGCAACGGACATGAAGAACTTGAGACCGGCGATAATCCACAGGGCAGCCCAGATGTTGCCCGTGGCTTTGCTGATCCATCCACCGGCGATGGCACCAACCAAGGTCAAAATGAAGGCGATGACACGACGGTCGCGCTTCTCATTGCGCAGCAGGAATAGCTTGGGATCCATCATCAGATCACAGAGCAGACTGGTGATCACCACGGTCGGCACCTCGTTGTAGCCCAACACACGACTGGCGACGGTCTGGCCCGCGGACTGCATACTGAGCAAAACGATGACGGCCTCTTGGCTCCAGTGGGTGACGAACGTGGTAGAGTGGGCGTCGGCTAGGTCACCGGCGATGACATGGCTCTGAGAGAGAGCCGCAGCGATGATGACGAGTACGACCTGCAGCAGAAAACAGGCGACCAGAGTGCCGCGCCGTTTGGGGCCGAGAAAGTTGTTGATGCGGGAGAAGATGAAGCTGCCGATCGCATAACAGCCGATGGCCGTCAAGGATCGCGCCCAGTCGTACGGTCGGCTATCCTGCTGCGAGGCACCCAACCCCACGAAAATGGTGTTTCCTGTTTGCATGGAAACGAAAGTATTGTAGGCTGTGGGGGAGAGTGTAAGTATGGTTCCATTATTATGAATTATGGGGAATTATGGAGATTGATGGAGATTGATGGGGTAGAGACAAGAAAGGTGTGGAGGAAAGGGATAAGAGAGTGTGGAGAGAGAGAGAGTGACTCACCATTGTACATGGTGCTGTCCAGCAAACCCGAACAGAAACAACAGGCCAGCAACAACAAATCCGCATATTTGACATTGATCTCAGCCCTAACATAGCTAACCATTGGGCTAGCACCTTTACTGTCCTCCATGGTTGCAATGGCTGAAATTTAGGCTGCTGCACTGATGGGTTGGAGGGAAAGAAACAGAGCAAGACAGGGCCCAAGCAGAGATGCAGAAACAACAGCAGCAGCAGGAGCAGAAAAAGGAATATGAAAGTATCTTTCTTTCTTACTCTCTCTGTCTGCCAGTCGTCTCTCAATAAGCACGCTCGGAGCAGGAAAGAAGCGGGAAAAGGCAGGCTGACAGACGCGTGGAAATTGAAGAGCTTGCCAGCTTTAAGACAACCGCAACCGTGGGCCCGCGTGGGCCGCAGACCCTCAGAGCAAAACCTTCACAAACCTTTTTTTTTCTTTTTCGTTCCAAGATTCCAAGACCAGGCCGCTATCCCTTTCTCCTAAAATCCCCCCAAATTTCTACCGATCGCCCAGAGTGGCCAAGCCGGGCGAATCCGGAGCCGCTGTCGGGCTTGGGCTGATTCCCTACAGCACTAGACTCGACCTAACTCAACTAACAACTGGACCGAGAACTCTAGTGCTATCGAAGTGACGAGCTAGCCTCTCTATCCGCCGTCTCTGGAGTCTCTAGCCAAGTCAGCCACGACTATCATTGCCTGTCTTTTCTTTTCCCTCTCGGACTATGCTGGTCGTCCAGTCTACCCCCTCTCTTTCTCGTCATTATTCACCCAATCTAAAGTAACTAATCAGACTGCTTACTACCCTTGAACCTCCCAAACTGGATCTCCTCTCCGCCAATCGGCTGACTTGCGCCTCACCACACAGACACTCACTCACTCAACACTCTCTCTGTCTCCCTTACCCTTGTTCTTCTTCTTACTCTCTCCCACTCCCCCTATACTCCTCCCGGTTTAGTCCGGCCCTACCTATCTATCGATTAATCCTCTTCCAATCTGCAGCTCCAATAGTCGTGGCGGTTTATTTTTCCTCACTGCATCCGATCTGCTAGGCAGGGGACTTGTCGGACTGCTTGCTGTGTCGGACCCGCGTCGTCAGTTTCACCATGCGGCACCACCCAGCCGGGTCCGAAATGTTCCTCAGCTCTCCTCTTCCCTTTCCTCTTCTGTACTCATGGGTTACACACCGGGGTCCTAATCACCGCACTGACCGGAGAGTAAATACATTCTAGGCCATGAGCACATTTCTAGGCAACTTGCGGAGTGACCATGACCCTTTCATGACCAAGGAAGGAAAAAAAGAGTACATCCACTACCTAAGAAATCACTAGACGTGCGCAAGAGCCAACCGCGCAGCCAGATTCATCACTCAGTCCCCAGCAAAACCGGGGCTGGACTCGAGACTATCGCCTCCAGTATTAATTTTCTGTCCCCCCAGGTTGCCAAGATACTTGGCTCTGCAGCATGCAGCAACAGAGACGCACTTAATGTCGGCGATGAGAGTCCGCACTGCAGCTGCTGCCCTGGTCCATCTGGTCCATCTGGGTCCTGGTTTCTCCATCGGCTTCTCCGTCGGCTGGTCAGCCATGCACTATTGCCTATCTCATCATCACTAACCTCCATCACCCCCTCTCTCACCTCATCTGCGATAAGTCCCGGGAGCCAATGCGCTCCGGTTTCTCCGCCATTCAGCAGGCGTGCTAGAACCCGCCCTGCCGCCGGCAATCCTCAACAGTGACTCCGTGGGTGGGATGCCGTTTAACTTCCGGCGCATCAGCCGAGCCCTGGCAGTCTATCGGTGCAGATCTGCCTCCTCGGCCAAGCGCCAATCAAGCCCGATTCATCCCATTTCTCGCCCAGCTGGCGAACTCCGGAGGTTGATTGCTCGCTGGCTTTCAGTTGGCCACCAAACTTACTCTCCCTCCCCCTCCATCCCTCCTCTGCCAATGCGACTTGGCTAGGCTACTGTCTTTTTCAGCTGGGTGAAGAACAACGGGCCCCGTGCGTGATGAGCAAAAGCGTCTGACATGCAGCAACTGCAGTATACTGGAGCCCGCGGCTACCGAGGAACTCGTGCTCGTGTGCCACCGCATCGATTTGAATCGATGCGTCTTGTCCATGCACTGTCGGCGTGGCCTAAAGTACGGGCCAAATCTATCTGACTTCATCTCACTCAACACCCCCTCCTTCATTCTCCCCTGACCTGACCAAATCCGGAAATCACCTAGTCAATCAATCCTGCCATCACCGGCGCGCGTAATCTGAAACTACGCGCGGAGTATGTCTCTTAACTCCCCTCGCGGTGGCGGTCCAGCCAGCCCCATCCTTTACTGGATCTGGCGATTTACTGGTCATTAGCCTACGTACGGGGTAAAGAGGGGACGGGAAAACAAAAATGCGAATAATATAACAATAGTAATATGAAATTAATAAAAAAGAAAAAGAGGAGGGGGAGCTTATCTAGGCCCCTGCTGCATTGCATTCGGACATTTTTCGACTTGTCACAGGCACAAATCATAGTCCGCCGATGGCGTCGATTGACCATTTTATTTTCTTTTCTCGGCGCTGGGATGGTGGCCAAGAAAATTGAATGGCAATGGTTCGTTCACCGGAGTAGGGTGTACGTGCATTTGTGTGGATTGACGATGATTCTCGGCCAAGGGCTTGCGTTGCAATCCACCAGGAGGGGAATGTTGCAGACAGAAAGAAAAGAGGTATTGGGAAAAAAACAATTCTCAAAATGATCTTCTCAGGTAATGAATATTGGTTGCTGGCGGGATGATCTTCTCCCGACACGTCTATATAAACTGGTCACCTTCTGGCTCTTCCTTTGGTTTCTCTCCATCCTCATCAAGCCTCTTTTCTCTCCTATCTTCAACTCTCCACTTTCCAAGGGATAAAAACTCTCCTTGTTCCCACCTATATATACCTTGTGGTTTTTCTCCCCTCGCAATGAAAGTTGATACCCCCGATTCTGCTTCCACCATCAGCATGACCAACACTATCACCATCACCGTTGAGCAGGACGGTATCTATGAGATCAACGGTGCCCGTCAAGAGCCCGTGGTCAACTTGAACATGGTCACTGGTGCTAGCAAGCTGCGCAAGCAGCTTCGCGAGTCCGATGAGTTGATCGTATGCCCTGGTGTCTACGACGGTCTGTCCGCCCGCATTGCCATCAACATGGGCTTCAAGGGCATGTACATGGTATGTCCATCCTAACTACTTCCATTCCCTTCTTCCCCACAATCAATCAACACACACTTCTCCGCTTCCGACAAACAAAGATCATACTAACGGAAGGGTTTTTAGACCGGCGCCGGCACTACCGCGTCTAGACTGGGTATGGCCGATCTGGGTCTAGCCCACATCTACGACATGAAGACCAACGCGGAGATGATCGCGAACCTGGACCCCTACGGTCCTCCCCTGATCGCTGACATGGACACTGGCTACGGAGGTGAGCAAAATCCCCATAATCCCCTAAACTTCCACCCTCCGCCAAGAAAAAATGATCTACCCGCTCCCAAAAGCAGAACGGCAATATAAGACCCAGTTTCCCCACTAACCACCAAAAACAAAAACAATACAGGCCCCCTAATGGTCGCTCGTTCCGTTCAACAATACATCCAAGCCGGTGTTGCGGGTTTCCACATCGAAGACCAGATTCAAAACAAGCGATGCGGTCACTTGGCAGGCAAGCGCGTCGTCAGCATGGAAGAATACCTGACTCGTCTCCGCGCCGCCAAGCTCACCAAGGACCGCCTCCGCAGCGACATCGTGCTGATTGCCCGCACTGATGCCCTCCAGCAGCACGGCTACGACGAGTGCATTCGTCGCCTTAAGGCCGCCCGCGATCTTGGCGCCGATGTTGGTCTCCTTGAGGGCTTCACCAGCAAGGAGATGGCGAGGCGGTGTGTGCAGGACCTTGCGCCTTGGCCGCTTCTGCTTAACATGGTGGAGAACGGGGCTGGGCCGGTTATTTCCGTTGATGAGGCTAAGGAGATGGGCTTCCGTATCATGATCTTCTCGTTCGCTTGCATTACCCCGGCCTACATGGGCATTACCGCTGCTCTGGAGAGGCTGAAGAAGGATGGTGTCGTTGGGTTGCCGGAGGGCATGGGGCCGAAGAAGTTGTTCGAGGTTTGTGGGTTGATGGATTCGGTGAGGGTTGATACTGAGGCTGGTGGTGATGGGTTTGCTAATGGTGTTTAAATTTCTTTTTTCTTCTATTTTTTTTTCCTTTTGATTTTTTACAAATTCCCTTGTTTTGTTCGTTTACTATATCTGGTTTTGTTCGATTTCCCTTCTGGTATCTAATTTTGTGAGAAAGAGAAAGTGTTGTTGTTGGATTACATTGGATGGGATGGATGTGATGGAAATTATTTTCGGGATCAAAGTGCAAGGAAAGGAAGAAAGAAAGGGGGCTGTGTTGTTTATTGAATTTTCCAAAGTGGGGAAACCGATATTTATTTCCTACTATACATATCGCAGCTTGCGTGGTACATATACTATTATATACTACATTACCAAGAAGGGAAATGGAAATTGAGTGGTTAGATTTTCACTTACTTGACAGGTAATATGTTCTTGACCGATAGAGTAACCCGCTACTTTCTTACTGTACTCCATCTGACCTAATCAATCATAATGTAATTAGTTAAGAGTATAATGTAATATAATATAATTTGGTTGCCTTATGCTTACTTCGTTACTCCTCACGTCAGATCAGATCTTAAGTAGTATTTGGTACGTGGTGTGTTTCACTCTACAAACCTTAATAGATTTAACAATTGTATTCTCAGTGAGCAAAGCAGCATAAGAAGGGAAGCATTCTAGACCCTGACAGAACACATGCTGATCGACAGATCCTTACCAAAGATGGTAAGTGGTCTCAGGAATCTTATTCCAGTAGTAGTAGTAGTAGTAGTAGTAGTAAGCAAGAATAAGAAAGCAAAAGAATGATTAACCATCTAACTAACTACTAAGTAGCTAACTAGCTGGGTAGCTACTGCATGCATGAACACGGAGTCGCCGTGCAGTGCAAAAAAATTGGTGCGTGCTCAGCTGCAATCTGCACACTGCCACCCTCGCCCTACAGAAGAAAACATGCTGCTAAGCTCCACTCTTGCTGTTACCGCGATGAAACTAGGGCCAATAATGATGCAGTTACTATTGGTCCCACTGGGGTGGGTTGGGTAGCCTTATGGTTGTGAACACTGTCGATCTTAGTGTATTTTTTTTTCTTCTTCTGGTTCTATTTTGTTTTGTTGAGTTGTCTTATGCTGTGTTGTGGTTGCTTTTCTTTGGGTAACGAGGGAATGAAGTACTATCGTATGATAATGGGAACTATGTTATGTTGTGTTATGCTATTGATGGGTGGATGATGATGATCTGCGTGGAAAATAATGTCAGAGTCTTGTCTGATTCGAACTCCGTCGTCCGTCTGATGTCAGCCAGCCACATTCACACATCCACGCAATCACAATCAATACAAAGGGATATTCAACCCCTGAATGGAAACGCAGGGTCCAACGAAAAAAATCAATAAAATAATGTAACAAGGAAAAGAATATTCATCAGCAGACTGCATCAAAACAAATCATGATTCGTTCATTTCATCCATCCCCTACTGTCACTGCCACTTCTCATATCGCCCCCTGCATCTGAATCCCAATGGATCTCATCTCATCACATTAATGTCTCCTGATGCACCACAATCCGCCACTCTCCATCACTCCCCTGGCTCCATGTCGTCGACCCGGTGCCCCGGTATGTCTCTTCTCCGCGGCGCGCATTGATTTTGTATGTTACTGACCCGGCCATCAGGTCGATGACGATCACGCGCACCTCCTGCAGTTCGTACTCGTCGAAGTGATGGAAGGGTGGCTTCAGCGCCTCGCTAATTGACGGCTTCGAATGCAGGTGCAGAACCTCGCGCTGCGGGAAAAGTAGGTTGGCTTCTTCGTTACACATCTTCTTGATTTCGGGCCCCGGGTCAGCAGAGGTGAGCGCCGTCCAGAGACGACGCTCCTTGCCGATAAGGTCTTCGCGGATGCGTTCGTGGATGGAGCCGACCATTTTCGGTGATTCCGAGCTGAGCTGGTGTTGTTTCTTTGGATCTGACTTTGTGGTTCCTGATTAGACTTTCGTGGGTGGCTACTGAGGGATTAGTTATGGATATCTAGCTGATAGCGGTTGTCATGTAAGCTCACCTGAGTGAGCCGGTCGGGGGTATTTCGTCTAAGGGATATCCTAACGGGTGGCACAACAAATCGGCGATGCAGGGTCCAGGATGCGACGCGATGCGATGCAATGCCAGCAGAAGAAAGGGGAAGATAGAAAGATAAAAAGGAAAGAGTATAACAACTAACAAGTTGGAGGGAGACGGGCGGGTGACGTCACGGTCCAACCCCACGTGGATGACGTCGTTTCCCGATGACATCGGCCAGTTGACTCTCATCCTCCCTTTCCCCCCTCCCCCCAATGCTCTATCCCTACGTCTGGCCTGATTATTCTCTTTAGGAATAAGGTCATGGACACAGCAGATGCGGACTCATTTCCCGCGATCGGCAGGCGCACGGGAGCATCTCGCATCTGACGATGACGCGGCTTTCTCTGCTGCATCTGACTCCTCTGGTGCAGCTGCTGCCCATCGCTGCATTTCCCATTTAGAGAGGACCCTTTGTCCACTTGCGGAGGTACTGCAGTTGGGCCTCGCGTCCAGCGTAATCTTCAGCGGTGGAATGTGATCGCGTGGAGCGGCTCTTTCATGCCATCCTCTCACGGACAAGAACGATCGGTGTGACGAAGTCATCAAAGCTGACGTTGACCTGTTACGCGGATTTCCTGTCAACTCACACGGTGACACGCCCCAGCTGGGGTATATAACCCCTTTGTGTCTTAGAGCTGTTCAGGAATGAAGAAAATTGTCCGAATAAGAGGACGCCTGCGGCTCTGCCTGATGACCATGGCATCCCCTCTCACACCCGGGATCATCATCGCTCAATAACGTTCCGACCGTCTCTCGGCTGCCCGACAATATTCCAGCTGCTCCATGGATCAACCCGTGACCTGCCACTCCGCTCCGAGGTCGTACGAGGCCGTTGAGGTCTGCTGCCGCCAAGCATCTGACATTGCTTTGGATCGGCCAAGGCAGCCACGGCAAGGGAGGCCAATGTATTTGTAGCAGCAGTGCAGCATCTCCACCAAGGCCGTTACTGGTGGAGGAGATCGTCGGAGATCTGACCGCGCAATGTGAGATCCCCTGCCGTCCACGTCAGCGTGGCTTCGCGTCGGACCTGTATGGAGGAAGGGGGATGGAGTCCGGTGAGGAATAACCTCCACTCGACCGGAATTGTCTAAGACAGCACTCATCACACCCTTGCCATGTGGAGCGAACCCGGCGAGTCAGTTTCGAAAACTGAGTTTGGGGCCAGCTTTAACTTCAATAAACTCGCAGCGATCGGTGGGATCCCTAGAAGATCCTCCGTCTTCTAGAATCCGTGAGCTGCCGGTGGAACCATCTCTGTCGGAGTGATGGATCAAACGATTGGACCCCGAGAGTTACCAAAATGGCATCACGGTCGCAAGTTGGCAAGGGATGATGCATTCCTGTTCGAGTCCGCGGATGGTCGGCGTGTTTCGATCACGTGATAATATACCAACACTCTGTAGGCTTCGTGACAGACGCCAACTGGCTGACAGTTGGATTCCAGAATGCTCGGCTGGATTGCTTATTTCATTGGGTGGTGATCAGCATATGTTCGGAATATTCACCCGAGTGGCATGATAGGAAAGGAATGGAATGAAAATCGACCAACGAGAAGCCTCGTTTGGGGAAACCACGGGGGTATTGGCGATGATTGGATCAATGAAGCCCAGAAATTCCCCAAGGCCGACAAATCCGTTGTAAGTATTCTTTAGTAGGCCCTGGAGACTGACATTCCTCTTGCAATTGAGGTACAATATGAATTGACTGTCATGTCAAGGGATGTGACTGTTCTTATTTTATCATCGAAGATGCTTGGAGTCTCTGCCCCGCGATCCAACTACTTTCAAGTATGGGAGGCCTCGCATGAGAATCCGAGCGGGAATGTAGTAGTCCGCGGACATGACATTGCGACCAGGAAGGAGCGAAATGTTCATGGCCGCGGCAACAAGTAATTACCAACGCGGGATGCCATTCTGAACGTAGCTCACTGGCATTTCGTCTCCCACCATAGTAATCTACGATGTCCACATATTGATAGTACAGGTTACAAGTGACATTCATGATATTTTGTCGGAATGGTGATTAGCATTGTGTGGCTCCATGTAGTTATTCGAATGGAAATGAACGACTGTTTAATTAAATCGAAGGAGATGCCACGAACTAAACGACAGAGTAATATGGCCCTCTGAAGTGTAGGTGTGTACTGGATTAGGAGTTGAATCATACGAAGTGCATAGTTTTCCTAGATTGAAGTTGCTAGTACCCTACCGGAGATCTCCTATCTATACCTGTACTGTCCAAGATATATATTTCTACGGGATACTCCTACTAGCACCACTACCAATGGCGATAGTACTACTGCCAAGGGATAAGATAACGTGCAAATAATGCAGATTGACACCCGGCTATAATCTCTTCCTCATTAGTAACTCATCCATCTAATCAGTACGCCCTACGGGGTCTGAATGCAACGAGGTGGAGAGTGCCGTGGTGGTGATCGGAAAGTTCTTCAGCTGGGCGCAGCCCCGCACGTGCCCTGCCTCGTGCCCTCATCATCCTTCCATTGCAGCCCTAACACCTTCACAACTCTCTTCATCGGGATCTGAACCTCAGCTATTTATGTACTATATAAATTCAGCTACGGCTGAGGCCACGCACGATGTCACCATATCTGTATAGGGATTTGGATCAATCGCCTAGGTGCAGCAATGGAAGCATCGGGAAGCACGATGAAGAGGAGAAATCCGGTGGAATCCCTCCACTCCGGCACTAGTGGCGCCGTTGATAGGCCGGTGAGCGATAAGGCAATCTAAGTTAATTAAATTGCGCGATATTGGTGGTGCGATGGTTATCGGCGGGCTCCCCGCTTATCTCTCTGCTATCTTTCCCATGTTTTGCCTTTTGGGTTGTTGTTTTGTTCCTGCGTTAGTTCTTGGCTCCGTCCCGTGGTGCCACGGGGAATATCCTCTCGTGTTGTGGGAACAACTTTCAGGAACAGGAAATGATGGCATCTATGTCCTGTATGCTGTACCTTAGTCTACCGATGATCTCTGTATCCATTGACAGCTAGAAGAAAAATGGAAAACGCCCGCGGCAAACTCAGCTACTCAATCGCGTCCCATTCTTCAGCTGGGTGGAGAACAGCACTAACTAAGTAACCCCAACTAAATGCACCGCAGCAACCGGCTCGGTTCGTACGGAATGGATTGCCGATCATTGGCTTTCTGGCAGGCACCAATGCTACCCTCTCCGCTCTCAATGCAAATCCTTCCTAATCAGCCCGTCTCCCTGGCAGAGTTTTTCAACAATGTGGGCATTTAGCACGCGACGGTGGGTCGACTAAACCACCCAATGGCCAAATCCCGATAGCTACGCCGTTGATACCCAGAACAGAAAGACCTCAATCGCAAGCTATAAAGCTGGTCTCCCCAACTTCGCTTTCACCATCCAGCCATTGCAGCCAAAAAAGTGCACTCCACCACCATCGCACACACCATGCAGCTCCTTCAATCCGTTTCCACGGGCCTGCTGCTCGCCAGCAGCTGCCTGTCCTCCCTTGCTGCGGCTCGCTCCGTCCCCGCGGCCAAGAACATCGCCGCGCGCCAGTCCACCGACAAGATCGCTCCCAAGGTCTTCATTGTCTCCATGGTAGCCCACCCTCATCTATCACCCTAACCCAACCCCACCATGAGTGCTGCCATATACTAACAAACCACCCAGTTCGAACCCGAAGCCGCCATCTGGTGGGGTATCCCCGAGTTCAACGTGCTGGAGCACAACATTACCATCCCGGGAGCTTCTCCCCTCTTCCCGGACGTGCACTGCACAGCCGACCACAACATCTGCCAGCTGGTCACCGGTGAAGCCGAGATCAACGCGGCCGTGACCGTCTCCTCCATCATCTTCAACCCCACATTCGACCTGACCAACACCTACTTCCTGATCGCCGGTATCGCCGGTGTCAACCCCGAGCAGGCCACCATCTGCGGTGTGACTCTGGCCCGCTACGCCGTCCAAGTCGCTCTGCAGTACGAGATCGACATCCGTGAAATGCCCGCCAACGCCACCACCGGCTACTTCCCCCAGGGCGCCTACTACCCCTGGCAATACCCCGGCAGCATCTACGGCACCGAGGTCTTCGAAGTCAACGACAACCTTCGCCAGATCGCCGCCGCTTTCGCCAGCAAGGCCACCCTCGCTGATTCCGACGCCGCCAAGGCTTACCGCGCTAACTACAACACCTCCGACGGCATCTACGCTGCCGGTGCCTCCGCCCCCTCCGTCGTCCAGTGCGATGTCGCTACCAGCGACGTCTACTACTCCGGTAACATCCTCGGCGATACCTTCGCCAACACTACTAAGGTCCTGACCAACGGTACCGGTACCTACTGCGCCTCCGCCCAGGAGGACAACGCCACCCTCGAGGCCATGGTCCGTGCTGCTAAGGCTAAGCTCGTCGACTTCTCTCGTATCATCGTCATGCGTACCGCCTCGGACTTCGACCGCCCCTACCCTGGCGAGTCGGCCCGCGAGAACCTCCTCTACGCTTCTACTGGTGCCTACGAGCCCTCTGTCCAGAACATCTACAACGCCGGTGTCAAGATCATCGAGGGTATCATTAGCCAGTGGAACTCCACTTTCGCTGCCGGTATCACCCCCAGCAACTACATCGGTGATATCTTCGGTACCCTCGGTGGATCCCCAGACTTTGGTCCCTACGCTGATGCCGCTGAGGCTGGTGTCTCCCTCAAGCGCAGTGTGCCCCGTCGTCGCAGCCTGCGGGGATACTAAACCATCTCTTTTAGAGAGAAGGAAGATCTTGTATGAGTATGATGCAAAATGAGCATGAGTATGTGAACGAACTTAATTAATATCTAGCTAGCTGGTTAGTTAGTAGTAGCTGAATCAGTCAGTCAATTGACATAATAAAACAACTATTCTATCTACCACCCTCTCTACCCTGTTAACCTAGCCCAATAACTCCACAGGAAAAGCCCTAGCCATTGCCTCATACCCCCTCGGATTCAAATGCAAATGATCCCCACTATCAAACTCCGCCTTCAACAAATCAGGCCTCGCATCCCTCCTAGCCACCCGGTCAAAATCAACCACCCCATCAAACACCCCGGACTCCCGTATCCACCCATTCACCCTCTGTCTCGTCCTCTCTCGTTCCGGATCCGAGTACGGCTGCACGACGGACGAATTCGCCGGTGTCCCGAACGGCGTGATCGTCGCTCCGATCACCTTTATCCCTGCTGCATGCAGTCTCGTGACGATTTGTTTATAGGACATGATGATTCTATCGCCTACTATTTGCTGCGCGGTGGGGGAGGTAGATGCTGTGCCGATGTCGTTGACGCCTTCGAAGACGATCGTGTGCGTTATGTGGGAGTGTGCGAGCACGTCGCGGTCGATGCGCGAGAGGGTGTTTGGGCCGAGGGAGTCGTGGAGGAGTCGGTTGCCGCCGGCGGCTTGGTTGAGGAGGGAGAGGGTTGTTGTTGGTGAGTGGAGGGTGTGAAGGTATGGGAGGAGGAGGTCGGGCCAGCTGTGCATTGTACAGATATCCTGCGTCAGTCATTTGATATATTGCTGGAGGTAAAGAAGAAGTAAGGATACCGATTATTCTCATTCGTATCGCTCCCTCGTCCGTCTGTTATGCTGTCGCCGAGGATTGCGCACCCGTGGTACGTATCTGGGAGGAAGGCTTCGATGGTGGAGATGAAGTACCTTTTCCCTCATTTCTATCCATTAGTATAATTTGTCCGACTGAAACGGTGTGATATAGATGCATAATGAACTGAAGAGAAAGGGGATGGATATACCAATGCTCCACCCCCACCACATCCCCGCCAACGACCTCATTCACACCAACTAAATCCCCAAACCCCATCCACGACGTCGTCCGACTCCCCGGGTGAGATGTAATATCCGTCCCGTTCTGCCCGTTCTCCAGGTACAAGTCTACTGTTAGTGTCGTACCCGCTTGTTTCGGGAGGGTTATCGGGTCTGAGACGATGAGGCTACCGACTGGGACGAGGATCGAGGTGTCTCCGTCGAAGGATAACGGGGTTGTGGTACCCGGGATGATGGATGCGCTGCCAAGGGTGTTGTTGGCTGGGACGGAGATGGCCACGGAGGTGATGGGGAGGTCGGTACTTCCGAAGGCGTTGGAGAGACGGAGACGAATGGTTTGGGCTGGTTGGGTGAGGCGGAGGGTTTGGCGGAGGGTTGTGTTGGGGAAAATGGAGGGTGTGGAGTTCTACTTTGAATAAGTATTGGGGTTCGGTTAGTGATGTATACAAGAAGGGGCGGGGGCGGGGGAACGTACAAATGGGGCTGGGGGGAGGTTGGCTGGTTCGGTGAGTTGGGGCATCGTGGTCCAGATGTCGACCCAGTGGGATTGGGATTGGGAATCTGACTGGGAGGAGGGAAGGGGGGTGGATAGAATGGGTAGGGCTAGGGAGAGGAGGATCGCGAGGTAGAGGGGGAAGTTATGATTATTGTGACGGGCCATGGTTGTATTGGTGGCACTCAATTGAAGTGATATTCTCAATAATTCACCTTGGTTCCCTGGATAGTCCGAGCAGCTGGGGTAAAGCAGATATACTCATGGTATCGGCTAAATGGGTAATCTACAATGATCGACCGGCTCCACGAATGCGGGGAAGCATATCAGGCAATATGCACTTGTTGCTATCATACAGATGATGTACATGAAGCGAGGCTAATTACAGACGGCTATATACAAGCAGATCTTGATGCGCCCTCAGTATGTCTTCAGTGTCTCAAACCACTCCTCAAATAGCTTAACCTTGGCATCAGATGCGGTCGGAATTTCTCCCCATCCGTCGCCCACATGCTGCACCGTCGGGTTCTCTCCCGTGGCTGGCCACTGAGCCAGGGCTCCTCCATTGGGGTTGCCTGTTTTAATAAAGTTGGCCCAGTACTCATTCATCTTTCGTGCAATCGAGTAGTCTGCCGCCGTCCACGGTAGATCCGTGCCGTACAGGTTGTTCAGGACGTAGTTGATCTCAGATTCGTGGTACGCTCCCTGATCCTGGCCTGGCGGAGCGTGGTCCCAGAAGTAGGTATATACAGGACTAGTCCTCGCGGTCGACCAGAGCTGCGCCCACAGCCAAGTGCCCACCTTGGACCGGTCGGTCCACTGGGAGTTGTAGGCTCCCGGGGCTGTTCGTGTTGTGTTTCCGGGGTACTGCTCCAAGAAGCGGGAGAGCCATGGCTCGCTGAACGTCTCATTCATGTCTGCCAGGTATTCAGATACCGTGAGGTTCAGGCCATAGCTAGCCCCGCTCTCATCCTTAGTATTACCTGTAATGACGGGCACATCCTGCGCCAGACCTTTGATAAGCGTGTTGTAGTAGGTGTCCGGCATGGCATAGTAGTCCAAAGTAGCGCCGAAGCTCCATTCGCTGCTGCTGCCGAACGTTCCGCCCGACACGACGAGATCGTCCATCGGCAATTCGCGCATCTCGGCAATGGAGCTGCAGTTCACGCTGGCCATGAAGCGTTCACCCTGGGCCAGCTGATCCTCCAATGTGCTGTAGCCTTCTGCCAGACTGGTGCACAGGGGGTCGTGCGGATCCCGAACTCCGCTTTCAATGATGGCGCCGACAATCAGGCCCTTGGTCAGTGGGCTGTTGAGGATGTGCTGGGTGGCGGCTGACCCAGCGGACTGGCCCATGACCGTGATGTGCTTAGGATCACCGCCAAACGCGGCGATGTTATCATGGATCCACTTGAGCGCTGCAAATTGGTCGAGCATGCCCCAGTTGCCGGAGCTATTGGATCCCGTTACCTTGTAGAATTCTTCTGACAACTCCGGGTGTGCAAGCCAGCCGAATGAGCCAGTACGGTAGTTATAATTCACGTAAACAATACCCTGGTCTGCCATGCCACCGCCGTCAAACAGGGCATCAGCAGCCGTCGATAGGGCGGGGTAGCTCCACATCACAACCGGGAGCTTTGCATCCGTGGAGTTGGCGGGACTCCAGATGTTGAGATTCAAGCAATCCTCGTCGATAGTAAACTCAGAGCTGCCCTCGGTGGCTGACGGGCAAACATTTCCAAAAGACTTCGCATCAAGGGTGCCATTCCATGCGCTTGCTGGCTGAGGTGCCTTCCAGCGGTTCTCACCCCCTGTGGTGGCGGCAAAGGGGATGTTCTTCCAGACGGTGATGTCCTTCCAATGGGTCAGGTTGCCGGCGGGCTCGCTGGTGAAGGCCGGGTAGCCTTGAACGCCGCCATACTGCGTTTTGATGATGGTGTCATAGAGCGCTGCATTGGCCCCGATCAGGAAAGGGATGAGTGTGGCGAGAGCGAGCCTCGCACGATGAGACTGATTCATTGTGTCTTGAATGCTAATAGGGTCAATGAACTGATATAGGATGATGGTAAAACGATAATTCAGGTTGCTTGGGGATAGAGGCAGCGTTTAAGAAAATGCTGCAATGCCTTCGGAGGTCGGCGAGCAGACCTCTTAACAGTGCTCCGACGGGAATCATGCATCTTCACGGATATTTGCGCCGAGGGATACGCGGCCTGATCTCCCATCAGTGTGAGGATCATTGCCATACCCGGCTCTCTGACGATCCCCTCGGACAGGATGACGCAAAATAGATTGATTTGGAACCGTGGTACAACGCCTGCCCTGCGGAAATAAGGTAGGGATACTCAATCCGCGGTCCGTTATTGGTCCCGCTTAAGCAAAGCTCCGCAGGTCGGAGGTCGGAGGTCGGAGGCAAAGATAGAATGGTGTCCGCGATAGGTATGAATTTGCGTTTCAACTAGGTTACTCCCAGATACCGCACCTGCGATGGCATGTTCGGCGCGTACTTCTCTTAATATCCGTCGGAGCGACGCGTAATCTAAGCACTTCATTTGAACTGGGCACGTTGTTGGACGACGATTGGTTTCAACCAGTCTTGGTGCTCCATAGATTGATTTCATGGAGGAAGTGTCGTTATATTGATATCTGAGATGACACTACAAAATATTCCGCTCCCATGACTCTGAAAACCATTTTGGGAATTCAAGAGGCAACACTCGTTGCTTCCAAGTGCCATGTCAACCTTCAATTACAGCTCCCGGAGACTCCACCAGCAGCGTGTATTCCAATCCTCCTTTGATAACAGCGAGGTCTGACTTGCGTGTAATCAAGACATCTCGACTAACAACGGTCGAGATTATGTGCCTTGATCCCGAAAACCAATCATATGGCACAAAGAAATGGCGAACGTATAGCTCTTTGCTATCCTCCGGTATGTCCAGATCAGCAGTACAGACCCAGGAGTGGGTATCCAGGAAGACAATCTTGCTGGCCGCGGTAACACCGATGCAATGTGTGATATACCGGCTCATGGTGGCTGATCGGTTGATAAGACATTGATTCGATGTCCTGTCGACATGAAGTAGCTTGTTCCCCAGTAGCGTATCTTTCTGTCCTGCGCATATCGCGCTGGGACTATCTGGCCTATCTCCTTCGTTGTAAACAGTAAATGCCTTCGCATCGAGCAGGTAGAGCCTGCATGTCTTAGCTGGGCCATCTAACTCCGATAACTCGAGAAGTATGCGTTGTTTCCTAGCGGATGTGCAAGGAAAGGCATTCTTGATCTGTAGACCACCTAAATCAATATTGACCTCGATTGTTGCTACTTCCGTCCAGTCACTCCAAGTATAGATACGGGCGGTCGCGCCTTCAAAGCATATCACATGTTCTTCCGAATCATGATGTTGCAGCCACTTGCGGATGCCGGGTTTCGACGAATAACTTCGCATGTCTAATTCGTGACCGCTGATACTCCACAAATGATCTGCTTCTCGAGTGGACAATATGAACCTTCCTGCGACATCACTAGCCAGTGCTTGGGTAATCGCATGTCCGCAGTCGAGGCGTGATTGGAAGAGCATTTCTTCTGGCAGCCAACCTTCTGTCGGTGATTTCTTGAGTCTCCACCCAATTATTCTGTTCGACACGTCGATGCTGAGCAGGAGTTTAGCATTGGGTAGCCAGCTGAGCGCGTGAACACTGATCTTATGCCGATAGAGTGTGCGTATCTCGTTGCCTGATCGTATATTGTAGAGACATACTGATCCATCGCTCTTGCTGCAGAATACGGCATCTTCCTGGACCTCCACAATAAGTGCAGTGATTTTGACTCTTGTCTCTGTGGCCACTGTCTCGAACACAGTATTTGACGTAGCCTGGCTGCTTTCGTCTCCGCCTGAGTCACCAAGAAGAATAGCAGGTTCCCAGATGTTACATTCCGTACGCCTGATGTCGGCCAATCGCAGGCTATCCGGGCTAAATGCCAATTGTTTGATGTAAACTTTCGTGGACTCAACGCGGTAAAGAAGCGTCAATGTCTCGAAGTCATATATTTGGATTATTCCAGATCCGACACCTCCCGCTAGCAGACGCCCATCAGGACTAGCTGCTAGGGTTTGACAATTGGCCTGGAAGCTCACCAGAACCTCATCCTGGAATGGATCAACGAGGGCAAGCTCTCCATCGAGATAGGCTACCACAAGGAGTTCGATCGAAGGGTTGGGATTGAAAACCAATGCAGTGACCATGTGTCTGCTTGTTTCACCATTGGCGAGTTTCTTCCCGCAGCTCCCATAATAGGCGTCCTCCTGGAGGTCCCAGAGGATGATGGGCTGTCGGCTGTAGGTAACTGCCATCATTTGGTGACCGACTGGTATTGATACGGCAGAAGGAACTCGATGTGTCTGAACATTCATATTGTCAGAATCGTTCCATGCCCGATGGGGATATTGCATTCCGCCGCCGTCGAGTCCCCACGACGCCAAGTAATTTTTGGCCGACGCAACTATAAGTCGATCATCATACATTATCATCCCTAGTGGCCGGGATGGGGCAGGATAAGTGGAAACCAACCGGCCACTAAGAATCTCCCATGTGTTGATTGTCTTCATTCCGCATGCAGCAACCAGCCCACGTCTGCTAGACAATTGCAAATGCATCACTCTTTCTCCATGCTCCAGTGTTGTAAACTCTTGACACGACGTAGCATCGTACAGCGCGACCTTTCCGGAACTCAAACCAACTGCAAAAACCATCTCGCCGTAGCAGATGGCCGTTGTTTGACTCTGACTGAACTCAATAGATGCCAGTCGATCATCCCACTGGTTCTGGGAAAGGCCCATCACGGAAAGCCTTTTCACAGTCTTGCCAGCATTATAAATTATGGATTTCTGAGGGCAGAAAGGTATAATGAGAGAGTAAATGGCCGCGGGCGAAATCAGTAGAGCGTCAGAAAATTTGGCAGCAACGCGTACCAGATCCGTTGTCCAGCCTCTGATAACAGGCATATCACCACCAACAGGCGGGAGATGTGCCATGCAGGTTTTGAGGTATTTTCTGAGATGTTTGGCGGCGCGGATGATAATATTAAGATCCTTGGTCTGCGCAACCACCTCTATCCATGACAGGACATTCGCCCTTAGAAACTTTACAAGTAGGTGGAAGACATC